CCGGTTTTAATACCTATATTTTTTCAAAATTATATTTTAGAGATCTTCATCAGGCGATGACTAAGTCGGATGTCAAATACTTAACTTCTAAAATCAAACTGCTGTTTTTCAAAGGCATTGGAGAGGATATTGTAACATCACTAAATGTGCAAGGGGGTTTTGGCCTCCTTAATTTGGGCAAGCAGCTTTCGGGTCGCCGTGCTCAATATGTTTGGCATACCCTTACCAATGTTACTGATTGGAATTTTAACATCTTTAGGTATAAGCTCCAGGAATTTGTGAATAAGCTGGCTGACTCCTATCAAGCTTCTACAGACTCTATTCTAGCAATCCCTTGGTACAAGTTCCTCACTGGGTTGACTCTAAATTATCAGGGTAGGGATATTTCTACTATGGTTGATCAAAGTGATATTTTTACGAACACCGAGAAGGTGTATTTGGAAGCATGGTTTGATTTAATTGGTTCACTTCGCAAAACATATACGGCACAGCCGAGTCATTTTTCACATGATGAATATAGGGACTTCTTCGGGTCACCCCCTTCTACTATTCTCCCACCACTATTCGCAGATTTACCGGGGGACTTTTTCAATAGTCGTTCAAAGAAATTTAATATTGAAGCAAAGCCATGTGTTATCCCGGAGGGTTGGTCTAATCTTTATGATTTGGATCCCGCTGATTGGGTAAAATTTTTTAAGATCTTGGCTCATGGCAAACGTTGCTACCCAGATGGTATGGACGCTGTTCACCGACTCAATTTGGGTCATTTTACGCATCATTCTGACCGTGAATGTGAATTCTGTGGTCGTTATGTCTGGGGTCGCTATTACACCCATCATGTCTACACAAAGTGTCGGGTCACTAAGATTCTTTGGCAACTCTGCCGTCCACGCTCACTACCAAGGAGGCTACGCCTCTTTATTTGCAATTCCTCCCTTCAACCATTTCAATTAATGCAGCTAAATCGATACCTCGCCCTCCTTTATAAGTTTCAAAAATTTCGACGTGGAGGGGGCCGGAACGTTGAGCTCACGGTCCAATTCATTCGCAAATGGGTATCGTACACATCGAAGAGTCTTAACAACTACTCCTACACACTTAATCTATAGGATGCTGCTGAAATAAGGTTTTAGGCAATGATGCTTTTTGCCTTTAATGTATATTGTTTTTCTGTTTGTTATATTTCTGTATGTTAGTATGTATATGAACTCAATAAACAGATTGTATATGTAAAAAAAAAAAACTCAAAGACTCAATAACTTGCAGTACTACAGATTTCTTGCAATAATTTAGCGAAAACTTGTTTATTCTCCCGGAGCTAGAGATTAATAGATAATTGTCTTCCAAAACGAATCATTTTAGGTAATATTCTAATTGATTACACAAATTAAAGTCACCTGAGTCTCATAACACTTGATAATTCGCCTATAAAGAACATATGTGGATCCTAAAACAATATTTTGCAATCTCTCGTATATCATTTTACGAGCTCAAAAAAAGGAAAAAAATCGGCTATAACTTCCTAATCGGGTATCAAAACCTAAGAACTCGGAAAAGTAGAGAAAATAACAGAAATGTAACGAAGTGGAAATATATTCAGTACTATTTACACTACGCTACCTAAAAAAAATAAGTTGTGAAGGGGTTGAGGTTTTGGCAGTACGATCTTATGACGGAG